CTTTGGAAAGGAGTAAATGCCAAGCCAAGGATGGGAGATGCGGTTCCCTTCAACCTATCTGGCTGTCTCCCCCTTCTTTGCCACCTCTACAGGGTGGCTTCGGTCCCAGATGAAGTAGATCAGGGCCCTCCAATGGAGAGCACAAACCAAAACCGTGACAATCACGGATTTTGGTCCATCACCAAGGAAGTCTAACCGGAAGTTCCTCTTTGTTGTGCTTTTTTGTTGACATTGTTGATGTTAGGTGCAGATTTTGAGTCTTGAGATATTATAGAACCTAGAAACTTGAAGGTCAATAGTGTTGATATTATGTTGTCTAATATTGTAAGAGATGGTAGAATAGGAGGACTTCTCTTAAATCTACTATCATCTCTACAGTTTTGAGGGTATTCAGTTCAAGATTGTTCTGGCCATACCACAAGGTTAGTTCAACTTTCCATCTGTATGCAGATTGGTTGTCGTCCAATGAGACCAATCACTGTTGTGTCGTCTGTAAACCTCAGTAGTTTAACAAAGTGATCCTTTGAGATGCAGTTGTTGGTATATAGAGAGAAGAGAAATGGAGAGAGCACACTGCCCTCCGTGTGTGTGTGTGTGTGTGTGTGTGTGTGTGTGCGCTAATTGTACAGGTATCTGATGGTTCACCTGTTGCTTCCTATCTGTTAGAAAGCTTATGATCCACTTACAAGTGTGGTCTGGCACAACTAGCCAAACCAGTTTAGTGAGAATAATATCTGGAATGATGGTGTTAAATCTGAGCTGAAGTCTACAATAAGCACCCTTGAATAGTTCCTTGGAGATCTAAGATGTTGTATGATGTAGTGGAGAGCCACATTAAAGCCTCATCTGCTGATCTATTTGCTTGGTAGGCAAATTACAAGGGAACTAACAGCAAATCCGTGATGGTTTTCATGTGGGCCAGCACTAACCTTTCAAAGGTTTTCTTGACTATGGATATCAGAGTAACCAGTCTGTAGTCATTCAGCTCCTTGATGGAGGGTTTCGTCTTTTATCCAACTTTAGTATTGTACTATAAACCTATGATACAATCACCCCTTCAATGACTATATTGTTACTGCACTAGGTGCTATACTATCAAGTTGGAATCCAGTGATCACATGGCAATATCGTATTATGTTCCTTTGGGTGAGATAATGAGACAGCCCATCAAATCACGTATTTTTATGTTGAGCCTATTTGTGCAATTCATCATGAGTTTCGGTTCAAATCTTTGAACTGAAACGTACATAATATTTTGCCATTGTCATTGCTGGTTGGAGGTCATGAGAATCAATTCAAAACATCTGGAGCATTAGTAATGCTTAGTAATGTGTTGTCAAATCTGGTGATTTATATATAAAGTCTTGCCATTTTTACTTGTTCTCAGTATTTACTGTAGCTCTTCCAGACACTGCTTTCCTCTTACAATTGATCTCTTAATGTCCAACACACTATATAGCCTTACAAAATTATATCTCTTTCATAGGTTAATCAAATAATAACATTATTGCAGTTGTTCATTCCTGCCCTATTCTAGTTACTCTTGTACATAATTTGATTGAGATGCATTACAAATAATTCAGCATTTTGCTAAGCGAGTCAATGATATTTTCTTCTTCGTCTTCCTGGGGTTAGTAACATTATCCGTATTAATGGTTACATATTTAATACATAAGTCATAATTCTCTAACACATTATGACTTGTGATTGCACTTAAATGCAGTTATGCAGTCCTTCCCAAATCTGATATCTTTCCAATAAAAAACATGTTACTTGATCAAAGGAAATATGGAAATTAAAACTGAACACATTTAGAAGACACCAGATTGATAGAACCTGAGCTATATGTTGAAGATAATTTTCTTTTCTGGTTCTTCTTTTGTAGCTCCAGGCTGGGAGGCAACAGAAACAAATCTCTTCCAGAATCTATTGTACCATATCAATGTGGCCTGCTTGAGTACTTATTTGGAGGTCCTCTTCTAAATTTCACCTTAGTTGAGCCAACTGAGCCATATTCTAAAGTCCTTGTATCATCTTTGTTGCCCACCTCCTTCCAATCTGTCAATATTCAATATCCTTTTAGAAATATTAACAGATAACTATCTACCCTATAATTCCAATTGCATTGAAAATACATTGGCAAATAATTTTAGACTTCTTAGGGATGGAAGGCAATTTTTGTAATCTGAATATTTCAAGTTCCACAACCAGAATATATTTTCTTTCAATGAAGCCAAACCTGCATTTGTTCTGGGGCAGAATTTGTTTTTGGTTTAACAGATTAACAGAGTTAGAAGGAACCTTGGAAGTCATCTATACCATTCCAGACAAGTGGCTCTCTAGTCTCTACTTAAAAACTTCTAGTGATGGAGCATCCACAACTTCTTAAGGCAAGCCATTCCACTGGTTAATTGTTACTATTAGGAAATTTCTCTTTAGTTCTAGGTTGTTTGTCTCCTTAATTAGTTTCCATCATTTCTTGTTTTGCCTTCTGGTGCTTTGGAAAATAGATTGACCTCCTTTTATTTGTGGCATCCACTCAAGCATTGGAATACTGCTATCATGTTACCCCTAGCCCTTCTTTTCACAAGACTAGACATACATAATTCCTTCAAGCATTTTTCATATATTTTAAGTTCCAGCGCTCTAATCATGTTTCTTGCTCTTTCTATAGTCTTTCCAGAGTCTGGAAGTCTTTTTTATAACATGGTGACCAAACTGGATGCAGTATTCCAAGTGCGGTCTTATTAAGGCTTTATGAAGCAGTACTAGTACTTCAGATGATCTTGATTCTATCGTCTATAAATGCAGCCTAGGATTCCATTAGCTGTTTTGGCTGCTGCCAGAGATAGTTACATATGGCTCATATTTAAGTGATTGTCCACTAGGACTCTAAGATCCCTCAGTGGAAAAAGCAAAATGATCAGATTTCTGGTTGATAGTCATGGTGAACTAAACATCTCTCCTTGCATCGGAACAGCATTATAGTGAAGTTGGCAACTGAATGCAGAATTCAGCCTGCTAAAATTATCTTCGAATTAAGGAGAGATCTTGGAGATTACCATGTGAACTTATGAGTGGACCACAGAATCAAAATTTTTGTGATCAGCTTATAAGTCGCGCAGTTGCAAGTTTTTGGAAGAACCATCTTTGTTCACTGTCATTAAAACTTTTTTAAGGACATGAGAATCTCATTTTTTTCAATCATTTGAATTATGTTATTGTTGCTTTGAAAAATTAGGATCATTCAGAAAGGCAAGTTATAGTGTATTCTTAAGGCAACATGAATTGCCTTAAGAGAAAAAAATTAAACATGATTTTAAAGTTTTTGAAAAATATTAGCCTTTCAAGTAAACAGCTAAAGTGTGTTTGGAATACTGATTTTAGAAAGTTAACAATGGATTAAGGATTTAGGTGGACTTGGAATTCCAAAATAGTTTCCTCCCCTGGGAAACTATCATTATTTAGATTTTCTTCAATCAAAATAAGAAAATGGGATTTTGAAAGTTGAACACTAGAGGAAGCTAGAGGATAATAAGAAGTACAATTAAATAAATGAAATAAAATATTGTAACAGTGAGCTCTCTGGGTGAAATGTATGAAACATGGTCTTTGAAACTTTTAGAAATGATGGGTAGATGGACTATTATGGAATAAAGAACAAGTTCTCAGAATAAGTTTGAAATCAGTCTTAATATGGATGTAAATTTGGTGAGAAAGACACAAAAAAGGATGTACTAGACTTGCAAATGAAATAGGATGATGTTTCATTATCTAAAGGGGATATCTAACTACTACACCAGAAAAGAGATATGAATAATTTTTATAGGATATACAAAAGGTATCTATTAAAGTCTTGAAATATAAACTTTGTCCCCTGGGCATACAAAGAATGCTGATTCTAGAAGCTTCTTTAGAAAGGACAAAAAAGATGATAAGAAACCTAGCTCTGGGACTCTATTTAAAGGGATTAAGAATTAAGATAGTTAAATGTATAGAGCAGGAATATAGGGTTGAATTATTTGATCAAGGTTAAGATAATTAATCATAGCTGATATCCTTTATTGGACTTTTGCTGATAAGAAACAAATGAGGATTTTAGATTTTGTTTTTAGTTAAAAAGATAAGATTTGGGGTGAAGAGAGTATATAGTGTAATTTAAGAGACAGCAATAAATTACATTATTTAAATTGTCATTGTTGAAATAAAGAGGGAAGGTACTTTTTTTTCTTTTTTACACTATTTTCTTTTTTCTTTTCTAATTCTTATATTTTTGTAGTTAGTGTAGTTTTTATTCCTTTTAATTATAAAATTGTTTTAAAAGTAAATGTATTATATTTCTATTATATTTAGTATTAATAAATTTGAAAAAAAGACAAAGCACAAGGCCCATAGCAAATGATGCAAAATCATATAGATTTCAAGGTTTATTTCATTGAGAAATACAAAATCTTTTTGCATATGAATCTTTGCCATTTTAAAAACTCTATTTAGATCTATGAATTGTCACATAGTTCTTTCCTCTGATTTTTTTAAATGAAAAGCAGCTTTGAAAGCTGCAACAGAAAACAGAAGGCAGAATAGGACCTACTGTTGAGTTCTGTATGTTTTCCACAATAGGTAAAACAATAGAATGGGGAAAATGTTTAAACGAATAGATAACTAGAGGGGAATAATTAAGCAACGCTTAAGTTTTCTACCGAAACCTCCAAGACTTATTTTTTTATTTAAAAAACAAAATCAGGAAAAAAAACCCACTATATGTTGGGTCATGTTCATTCCTTAGGAGCCAGTCTACAGTACACAGAGCAAGACAGAGGTACAGAAATACACGACTGCGAGTAGTACAAAAGATCACATCTCTATATTTGAAACTCACTTAATGCAGCATTCATTTTCTTAAAAATGTACAGGAGAGGATTTCTTATTTAGGAAATTATAGATAGCTGCATATTTCTTCAAGAAGTAGAAAAATCAGGACATTCTGCTATCTTAAGATCCACTTAATCTAAAAAATGCCCTATCACTTCATAGCTCAAATTTAATTAGCTGCATGGAAGCTCCTTTCAATAGGATTATGCTTGAAAAATGTATAGTTCAATTGTTCAAATAGTTCTCGGTTCTCTTTAATAGAAAGCTGTTTCTTCTGGGCTTCAGTGCTGTCCAGTGCTTGCAGATAATTCATTTAGACCCTGGGGGGAAAATAAATTATGTATTTAACTATTTTAAAATATCCTATTTATTTACTAAATTTACAGTATACTCTGTTTTGAAATTTGCACCATCAAAGCTGACATCAGCCAGAGCATAGAAAAAGAAGTAGTTCAAGAAGGAAGATGTGGAGAGACCTGGCCTATAGAATTGCCAAGAGTTGGAGATGACTGAATGGATAACATCATCATCCTCAAGTTTGACAAACTTACAAAATTAATCTCAGCCTTTGTGATAACTATGGTAATTTGCACTGGTACTCTTGTGAAAGTTTCTGACTATGCAGTGGCTGGTTGGATTTGCTTATGTAGTTCTAATCTGATTTCAGGTTGACTTGCCATAATTATTAAAACCTGAGAATAGCCTCAATTCTAGCATTATAAAAGAATTCTTCCAAAGCTCAATCCAGGGCATAGGTACACGCATCGTCCTACTGATCTCAATTTAATACAGACAATCCTTGACTGTTATTATGGTCAAAAGTCATTATGATTGTAAAATGGGTAAGTGACACGATTGACCTGATTTTATGACTTTTTTGTGGTGGTTGTTAAGCAACCCACCCTTTGTTAAGGGTGCTGGTTTTTACAAAACCATTCTAAAACTCAGGTCTGCAATATGCTGCAAATGGAAATGAATGTGACTATTTTGCCAAGTGCCTGAAGTGTACTCACATCACTGGGGTTATAGGGGAAGCCTGCCTGTCTGAACTTTGGAACCATATCGTAAGTCTCCTTTCTCAAGTAAGTTTCAATAGATGCTAAATGGATTGTTGTAAGTCAAGGACTATCTGTATTCAAAAAGTTTCAGTTCTTTAGTACCCGAAAACGTTGAAATATATGTTATAGGGTTGTTGAAATTAGTGACAATGAAGTCAAAACTGAACAAAATGTTTACTGTCTAGGATAATAAGCTCTGCTTCTGGACTAGAATTTACTGCTGTGTTAATAATTAAATGCTGGAAGATGTAGCTTAATAATCCCTGGAAGGGCCTTTCGTCTTCCCCACGGGGGAATAGCAGAAACAAATAAACATTACTAAGTAGATGAAGGAATGTTAATTCCAATCTTCTTGCCCTAGTACACACTTTTTAAAATTAATGCATCAGGGACAGAACCTATGAGATCCTCTTTTCTTAAACCTCCAGTCCCCCACAATATGTAGAATGTTAAATTTCCACCACAGATTCCCAGGCAGTCACTCTTGTTACTTGCTCTTCCTTTACCTTAAGAATAAGGACTACTTTTCACTCTAGGGTTACGAGCTTTTGTTGACTGGCTGTTCATCTGTGAGATCACCAGCAAATCTTGCAAGCCGTGTTGCTGAATCGTTGGCTTCTGCAGGCTGAAGTGAATATTATAGTATTTTGCTGGTTTCCTGTCAAAAGTGCTTCTGGTCCCTACGACTTCTCTGGAGAGGTAAGCACTTTCTGTGTAATATCATGGAAAAAGGGGAAAAAAGCATAGGTTATGAGAGATTATATCCAGCAGGATACCAACCTCACTTGTCTTGGATTCAAGCAATTGTCAAAAAGAATGAACTGGCAAGGAGGTAAGTGGGGCTACTATTGCAAGGCCTGTAGAAGCATGTGAGCTCTCTGTTCTTCATGCTTCATCATTCATCTGCTAGGGCAAGAATCAATACATCATACTGTATTATTATTAATAGTCTGTCTACTTCTGTTTCCTTCCTACTATCAGCTAAAAGATTGGCACTGGATATTTCGTGTGCGTCCTCATTCTCAGCACAGTTTAAAAGAAAAAAAGAATACATATCACTGCAAACATAAACAAACAAACAAAAAACCACAAGCCTATGAGCCAAGCTCCTCCTTCTCCCTGCAAACACCGCTGTGATTAGAAAGATTTGGAGCAACTTTTTGAAACCTGCCACAAGTTGTCGTTCTATGGATTTTATCTATCTATTTATTTATTAAATTTATATGCTGTCTGTCACTGAGCAAGTGAGTGAGTGAGTCCATCCCTCCCTCACCCCTCTCTTTTCTTCCCTCCCTCCTGCTACTATCAGAACTATGCAAATTGAAAAGCGATGGAAGCTATCGTCCATTTCAGAACATCTGAATTGCCCAGTTAAGAAAGGCTGCTTCAGAAACAATCTTTTCAGGTAGCAAGCATTATCTTGTGATTTTGTGTGTGGTGACGAAAGCCCCAACAATAAAATAAATTACAAATGGCTGAATCTCAAGACTTTGGCAGAATTTCAGGTTTCTCATCCCCAAATCTCAGGAAATGTCATTTTTGCCTGAAAGCTTGCAAGATTTTAGCATGCTCCCCTAAAATCTTTTTTGATATTTTTGTGTGCCCAAAATCTCATGCAATTCACATGGAGTAAAATCATAAATAGTATAAGCAAAAATTTTGGCTCACACATTCTCCTTCAATCTTCTCCTCCTGTAGACATTCTATATTAGATTTTCAGAAATCAAATGTATCTTTAAACTTCAAAAATCTTAATTGTCTTTTGATTTTAGCTTATTCAGGCAATTCACTAAATAGTGTGCCAGCAATTGGAAAAACTGTGCTTGGCTTTTAAAAATAATGTAACATTTATTTTTCTGATAAAGAACAGGGAACCTGCAAATCTAGACCTCAATATGCTTTATATTTTATCTGAGCGATCCTTAATAAGGAATTAATTAATGGTCATATTAAGAGACCAAAACTCTATTGCTCAACTGATAACTATTTCTAGGGCCTTGAGACCAGGGAAAGTAAAGTTTGTTCTCTTGGAAGACTTCTGCAGACAAAAAACTCACAGTATGAATTCATCTTATGCCATATCCTTTCTTGTGGATTAGAAGAGGTAATACTGTTGAACAATTTAACATATCTTGATGATAGTTACAATTTGATCATAAGTATTATTCCCAAAGCCCAAGAAAAAGCTTCTATTTCAGGATTAGCATGCATACAAATGGTGAAATCAACCCCTCCCCCCCGTTTTTTTACAGATCCAAAATTGATTAATACAATAGCCAAGAAAATGGCTCTCACTTGCTCGATTGGTGGGGTGTTGAGACTGGACTTGACAGAGATGTTGTAATTGCTTCTCAGATGATGTAAATTGTTTGCTGAAAAATTCTGAAATAAAGAAAGATGTTTTTTCCCTGCCATTCTCAGAAAATTTCTTTCTCATTGCCTTGACTGCTGACTGTGATGAAATTGCTTTTCTTCCAACATATTGGAAAGACAATTCACCAAATGGGTGGAAATTTTTAACAGTTGGAGTTTCACAGGCACCTTTGTTTTTCGCAGTTTTGCTCCTCAGATGATGTTTGATCATTGCTGGAAAATGTTTGTCAGGATGGCATGAGTTTTGTTTACTGCATGCTTTTGTAGATCCATTTGATGGTTGATGCTGGTAAGAAAGAGAAAGATGCTCAGGGATACATTTGCTTCATAATCTCATTCATTACCCAGCTGTTAAAGAGATCCAGAGAATGTGTTAAATAAGTATAGGCAACTTCATTTCAGAATGGAGCTACGCTTTTGGGGAGGTGGGTTCTCCAAAATATTTGGACATAACATCACAGTAAAGCAAAGGCACAACATCACAGAATCAGCCCCAAATTTTTGGCACTTCCTTCATCCCTTGGGATGCATGTTGGATTTAAATATAATATGTCAAATGGAATGAAGCATTGGTACATTATGTTATTATTATTTCTCAGATCTAATCTTATGTCCCTCAACTTTGGTGGCACAATCATGGATGGAGAGATGCAAAACAACTGCATGCCATCCTTTTTTTGAAAGTAACATGTGGTCCATAAGTTGCCCATTTTTATCTTAAACATATAATATCTAAACATATATAAAGATATAAGCTTTTATCCCACTGATTAAATCAAATTAACCTTACCATTCTACTAAATATTAGTATTCATTCATTCCAGTAGGTTAGAATTAACAAAAAACGGACAGCCTAGAACCAAAGTGAAATGTGTATAGTCCTCTTATCTTTGATTTGATAAAGCAACTTTTATTGCTTTCACAACATGAAGCCAAGACAAGAAAAAGCGAACAATTTTTGGTTTAAAAGCTTGCTCTGTGTTTGTTGCATGGTGTGGTATTGTGATCTCAGAAACAGTGCAGCAATAATGCTGCAAAGCCTGTGGCTTTGTTACTTGCCTTTGTTCTAATGCTCATATTAGTTGCAGAATGGTGAATATTAGTGGTATTCCTCAGTTCTGGCCTGGAATTAGATTGTTCTGGAATGCTGGATGAATTCCGACAGGTCAAATCAGGCACAGAGCTGTAGGGCCTCACTGGATGCTTTGCAGAATAATCTGGGTTATCTGTTTCAGCGCTGTTATGTAGGGAAATATTTGAAGATTCACAGAACACTTCTTTCTTGGGCTCTTGTTCATCCAAAAAATGTTCAAGCAGGAGAACAGTCCCCAGTCCTGATTCTGAACAAATCTGAGTCTGTGTAAGAAAGGAAAAAGAAGCTCCAAATAATATTAAACTATGATAACAATGGTTAGATTGAAGTTCATTGACATCAACAATATGCACAATGTATACATTAAAATTACATCAAAAACATTAAAAAATGACTTTAAGTGCTGAATAAATTGCAAAGGTGCAATGGTTATACTTTATTCTCATTATTGTAAAAAACAAACAAGCTTGAAGATTAATTTTTTTAAAGCTTGGTATAAAACTTAAATTGGATCTGGAAGCTGGAAAATCTTTTTTTAGATGTTTGTCACATAAATTTAAGCAATTTCTTCATTGCTGAAAAAAATCTACCTTGAATTCCAAGGAAGATATACTCACCAGATCAGTATAAGAATCAAAGGTTAAGGACAACCCTAATTTTATATGTTGAAGCTTCACTCTGCCTCAGGGGTGTCAAACTTGATTTCATTGAGGGCCACATCAGGGTTGTGTTTGACTTCGGGAGGCCGGGTGGGCATAGCCAGCTCAACATTATTCATGTTGGGAGTGCCTGTGGCGGCCCGACTGCTCTGCCAGTGGAAACAGGTTTCTGCCACCCTTTGCCAGCAAAAACAGACCTTGGGAGGGCTGCCCGAGGCCCTCACATGCTCTGTTTTTGGCTGTGACAGCCTCCTGCAACTCTCTGCCAGGGAAAACGGAGCTCAGGAAGGCCACCCACGGCCCTCCTGAGCTCTGTTTTCGCTGGCAGAAGCACTGCAGGCCAGTCCTTTGCTGTTTCCAGGGCAGCCCCATGGGCCAGTTTCAAGCACCCCGCAGACCGGATCCAGACTGGCCTTGAGTTTGACACCCCTGCTCTAGCGAATCTGGTCAATGGTACAGATAGAGCTCAAGCACATCCAGAGTGCCACTTTTGCTCATTCCTGCAGGATAAAAACCAAGAGATCTTCAGGAGATTTGTCCGTCTGTCTGTCTCCCTCTCTCATCTCCTTTCCAATATCTCAAGCTACTTCCCAAGCAGCTTTCCTACACAGCTTTCCCTTCTTATTAAAATATCTCAGAGAATCACATTGTTTCTGATTATCATAACCTTTTAGACATATAATGAAGTTCAGCCCTATTATGAATTGGCTAGATTGTATTCAAACGAAAGAGGTCAAGTAGAGAATAGGTTAAAATAGAATAAGCATACTCAAAATCCCTAACATACCGCAGATTGAACATTTACCACATCTAACTTTAATGCTATTATTATTTTATTAATGCTATTATAATTTATTATTTATTTTATGTCCAGAAGGCACTATAAAAGTTTAAGGTGTGATAACCATGGAAATCATATACTTTTTGATTACGTATTGTATAATTTATGTTCAAAACCAGAAGTCTTCCTCAAAATCTATGTTCTTATGAAACTCTTCTGCAAGCCCATAGGGTGATCTTTTAGTCCTCATACCATGGCCTCATCTCTTGCCCCTGGGATATAGCTCAGTATTTTTAACAATACCACTTATCTTCTAATATGTGATATCTCATCTGGAATCATTCCCCTAGCATCAATGTATGCCAAAGAAATTAAGGTTCTCATACCCAGCTACTTTTGGGGGATAAAAAGATAAAAATAAATTAGAATAACTCAGTAATCCATATTTTCCAGTGCTGATTGCTTGCATTTTACTGGGTAAATTTAAAAGGTGCTTTGCTCTGATTTTCCAATTGAATTCTTAATCATTAAACCTGCTTATTTTGTTTATTTCCTGCAAGATTGGCTTATCTCCTAAGCAGAACAAAGGCTGATACCACTAATCATACACCTTGATATTCTATCATGAAACAGCTATTTTGAGCATTCTTAACTTGAAATAAATTATAGTGGCTTGTTTAAAAAAAAAGATGATTTGCATTCCAACAGTTGTTGCTGAACCACTTTGTAGCTCGTGATTGTAACATATCTGTCTATCTCGTAAAATATTGCTAAAGGAAGGAAGAGTTTATATGGATAAGTTGCATGTATTTTTGCTTTGTTTTATTTTGCAGGCAGGTAGGAAAGCAATAAAATAGTATGTGTATTTAAATGCAATATTGTATTTTACATCTGGGAGTTGGGAGTTATATAACTGAAAAAGTACAAGCACCAAAATTGATTTACTGCTTTGTTGAACTTTGATGTATGTATTGGTATTATATCCTTTTGATGCTAAACATCATTCATTTGAAAATGTAAAAAAGCTATGTTGTATCTTGATGATCTATCAGTGAACTACATATAAGTCCTAGCTGGTGTGATAGGGCAACACTTTTACAAAGTAGTCTCTAATTTGAAAATCCTAGTTTCCACAAAGTAGCATATAAACCCAATGGCAAAATGTTCAAAATAATATCTGATAAATGTCCTTTTATATAGAGATGCTGTATGTTGAGTGCCATGACTTTTCTCCATTTTGCCAAAATACACAGTACCAGATAAAAAACATAACAATCCAAAGTTATGACTGATGGCAGAGATCCCTATTTCTAGACAATACTGGTGAGAGTCATAATGCATGGCTAATTGTAACTTTGGAGAAGTAAATATAAAGAACAGAAATGAAATATGAAACAAATACACTACATTTTGCAATATTAAAAGAAAGGGGGAGGATGTGTTAAAGATGAGAATGAATTAAGTATGATATTTTGGAGTGAAATTAATGCATACATGCATAGAGGAGTAAATAAAAGGTTAATCATCAATGTGTCTGTAGGTATTATCTAATGTCATTTAGATTCCTGTGGATGCATATGAAAATAAGAACTCATATACTAATGAGAATTGCATGCTATTCCAGTGAATGTTCCTAATTAAGAACCTGCATGCAGTAAGGCAAACCAAGTATGGGGACAACTACCTCCACTCTTACAACCTAAGGCAATACCAATCAGTAGAAAGAAGCATCTTATACATATTCATCTCCTATGTTACCAGTGCCAAATATGAGCACTTACAATAGAACAAAAATGAATATCAATTGTCATGGAAATGAGATGTTCGAAGAACGCTGCTAAAGCAAACAGAAGAGATAAAATCAGAAATGAGATCATGAGAGAAAGAACTGGCATAGAACCAATCTTAAACTACAACAAAAACAGCAAATAAAGTGGTTTGTTCACTTGGAGAGGATTTCCTGGGATTCCATACCATACCCAGGCATATACAAAAGAGGAGGTCAAAGAACATGAGGCAGACCAGAAGAATATAAAGAAACATCAAAGACATTATAATAGCATCAAATTACAATGGTTGAGGTCACCAGAACAGCAAGAACGAGAACTTTGTATTTCCCTCACCATCCAAAGTGGTAAAAGAGGAAGTAAAGAATAAGAAATATGATCCTAGCAAAACCCCCAAGTTATGCTTGTCTTCAGCTGAAATTGGGGGAGCAGATACAGATACAGATCAGAGTTGGAAGGAACCTTGTAGATCATCTACTCCAATCCAAGCCCAAGCGGGAGACCCTACACCATTTTTGACAAATGGCAGTCCAATCTCTTCTTGAAAGTCTCAAGTGATGGCGCTCCCACAACTTCCGAGGGCAAGCTGTTCCATTGGTTGATTGTTCTCACTGTTAGAAAGTTTCTCCTTATTTCCAGGTTAAATCTCTCCTTGTTCAGTTTCCATCCATTATTCCTTGTATAACCTATAGGCGCTTTAGAAAATAGCTTGACCCCTTTCTCTCTGTGGCAGCCCCTTAAATATTGGAAGACTGCTATCATGTCTCCCCTGGTCCTTCTCTTTACTAGACTAGCCAAGCCCAATGTTAGCCTGTGCTCCATTCAAAATCCAAGAAAGAAATACTTAAGACTCCATAGATTAGAGGAAAGATATCTTTTACTGAAATTCGAAGTGGAAGCTACAGGTAGAATTCTGAATCTAAGGATTTAGGCGCGCAGATCACATATACAAAGGGATGGAATTGTCCCCACCCCCAAAGTTCAAAAGATTCTTCCAATTAAAAGTTCTGAATATGATCATGTGGGCATCTTCGGGTGGTGATGAGGCCTCTGTCCACTGACCTTGACATATATTGATAAAACTTGGCAGCTGCGCAAAGGAAAGAAGGCTAAGCAAGGAAACTTAAGAGCAGGAATTTATACTCCTCCCGACTCCTCATTTATACAACACAAGAATGTAACACCTCCAGCTCTCTTCCCAGACGCAACCCCTCCTCCCCCCAATTACTCATGACAGCCGAAAGATGCAAAGCAGTAGAAAAGTAGAAAAGATCTTGAAGGCTAACACCCAGTTCCTGTAACCATTCTTCGTATGTTTTAGTCTCCAGTCCTCTAACCATCCTGGTTGCTCTTCTCTGTACTTTTTCTAGAGTCTCAACATCTTTTTTATAATGTGATAAACAAAACTGGATGCAGTACTCTCGGTGTGGTCTTACTAAGGCTTTATAGAGTGATATTAGTACCTTCCTAGATTTTGATTGTATCCCTCTGTTAATACAACTTAGGATTGTATTAGCTGTTTTGGCTGCTGCTGCACACTGCTGGCTCATATTTAGCTGGTTGTCCACTAAGACTCCAAGATCCCTCTCATAGTTACTGCTATTGAGCTTAAGTGTGCTTTCTATAATATGTACAAAATGTGACAGGGCCATTCAGGGATGCCAAAATGAAGGAGAATAGTTTTAAAAGTATCTGCTATACTTCAAAATGCAGTATGTAGTTTAAAAGTAAGCATTTATCTTAACAATTATTTTATGGAGTACCACAAAAGCTGTGTGGAGAAATGCTAATTGGAAGGAGGGGAAAAAACAGATGGAATAACTATCAGCTCAAAGAGATCTTGGATGAGAGGAAAACAGATAACATTAAAAAGATTGCTGCAAAAAGAGGAAGGTGATAAAATAGATTTTACAAAGTTTATAGATAGAATAAAACTATTTTTAAATCTTTAATATACAATTGTAGATTGACAACCCTAAATTTGAAAATTACTGTTATCAAACTCCAAGATAATTTTGTTTCCCAGAGAAAAGTGA